CTCTGGAGGGGACACGCTCTCTCATTAGAGGGATTCCATACACTCCTCACTCTGAACCTCATTAACAGGATGTTTCTCTGCTGCATCATCTGCTTTCTACTCATTCTTAGCCACAAGCACAGTTCTCCACAGCTAATGACAATGGAAACTTTTTGAATATGAAACAGATACAGAGACGAGATTGTTTTGTCTTTTAAATCAGACAAATAGTTTAAAACACAGGGGGTTTTGGATGTTGCATGAGACAAGGTGTTATCGATCAAAAGGGAAAATACACCCTGTATCAATCAAATTAATATTGTAAAAACTTAGTATAGTGACCTCCATTTGCATTATTGATTTACAGACACCTCAAAAATATTGATCGCATTCACATTGTAGGGACCTTTCACACTTATCTGTCTCGTCCGTTTACTGGTTTTGCATCCACAAATTAGGCTTTTTTGCCCTGTGTGAATAGAATTGATCCAGATAAAATTACCCAGACTGGTGTGAACAGGCTGATTTCACACAAATATTTCTTTTTATACAATCACATATCACAAAAAAAATAAATCCATTATGGTTTCATTACACATGGAGACAGGTCTTTGTGAATTTCCAAATCACTATTTTAATTTCTTTTTATAAACGGCCATGTGTGCCCACCTCTTCACAGCGCGGTGTTTTGATAATGATCTAATTAAGGGAACGCTTTTGTTGCCGACCCACTGTGTACAGTTGCCAGCAGAGTCGGTCTGCACTCAGCAATTACATGTAACATTCATCTGTTCAAAACCGACTAATTAGGCCTCAAGGACATAGAACTGACGTGGATGGATGCGCGTGTAGGGGCCCTGATTTTTGCCCTTTGGGATGTCACAATTTCGCATTTTACAGTTGTAAATATTGTATATAGTGCCCTATATGCTCATGTACTATTATGAACCGTAAAACAAAGATAACATTCAAGCACTTACAGCATTGTGTCATTTTAAAGTAACAATATGTAAGATGTGCATTTCAAGTCATTAAATGGCCTTAATCTGTCAAAAGGCATTGATGAACTATGCTCTTTTCGAATACTTCTTTAACTGATAATAGTAGGAAGGAATATGCAAATTACAAAATTGGATTTAAATCTTGTTATTGTTTTCATTTTGATGTACCACCCCCCACTGTTTTACCAATCTGTGATCCGGGTTGCCAGAACTCACCGCGTCGAACTGGTAAAGTACCATGTGGCCGCAAAACTAAAAAAGGTCTTGTTATGATTCTCAAATGATTAACGACAAAACAAGGATTTCTATTGGGGATGCCTTTGTGAAAAAGGTGTTGGTTATAGATTTGCTGTTGCTGGATTTGTCCGCATATCTGGCAACCTGAGTCAGAGGGAGTGGGAGAGGTTGCAGTACCACTTTTGGCCAGATTTCCTTCAAGTATTGAATGTGTCTTGCTTTGAAGCTGGGATACCTCACTTTCAAACAACATTAAACCCTCTTAAATAATTTAAGTAATCTATCAAAACTCATGTGAAAGTTAACTCAATATTAAAAAACAACTGGAAATGAGTTGATATTTTTTCGATATTAGTTTTCCATAATTATATTGCAACCTGAAAAACCACAATAATGAAACGTGAATGTGGAAAAGTGACACGGTATCAATCACGGGCTGTCAAATGTGTTCCAGCGCAGTGCAGTTTGTCTTTATCTGTTTAGATGTGACAACAAGCCTCCTCCAGGTCACTAGCCGGGCTCTAATAAAGCTCCATGTAGGGGACAGAAATGGGGAACAAATAGGGCTTGTCATGGTTTGGGTCCGGAGGTGGATCGGTTGTCACATTGATTGATTACTGTGCCAGCGTGCAAAATGCTTGTCTTGCAAAATGTCAGCGCTCACACAACACCAAACGCTGCCCGTAATTTGCTCCAAAATACAGCCGTAGGAAGAAATGTCTGTTCGGTTAAAAAAATAGACAGTTATTACCAAAGCTATTACTTTGGAAAATCAGCTTGCTGTTTATGTGTTTTGTTGCTCTACTAGTTGCAGTGTTATTGTGATACAACATAATGCAAGTAATTTTCATTTTTGAATTGTGGTAGATTAATTTCCGCTCGGACAAGATTATACTGTCAACATTTTTATTTTTATTTTTCATAAACATAACTTGAGCCTGTGGATGTTCATTATTAACCCTTTAATGGTTTCTTCTCCCATGTTTTGAGTCACTATATCCACTTTTACCATCAAACTGCATCTCAACCATTTGGTAAAATGGCTATATATATAATATGCCTATAATAAAAAAAATAAAACAACATAACAACATTAAAACAAATTATTTGTGTTATTAGTGCACCCACATCTAAAAAAACAAAAAACAGCTACTTACATTTCTTTCTTAAAGGAGTGAACATTAAAGCGTTAGAATACTAACAGTTTAATAATAATAATTTCTGTAGTGGGTTCTTAAACGTAACCTACTGTGTCCATAAATATCAAGACTAATTGAAAATGTTGATTCTGCTATACTATACTATCCTCAGACAAATCAAGATAAATGAATAAAGTACTATCTTTTGTGGTCTTTTTTACTACTACTACTACAAACTATGTCTCCTAATTTAATTAATACAATTTTGAATCATTTCTACAAAACCTGCCTAACTACTAACCCTTTTCATTGCAATTATTAGTTCTTTTTTTTGCGGTGAGTTTGTTGGTCTGACATGTTGTGGCTGCGTTCCAGCATAGTCAGCACAAACACTAATTTTGTTTAAATGAATTCATGAATTAAATGTTAACACAATCATTGACAGTCCCTCTTGTCTCAAATGCAATTGTGAGGGTCATTTTGGATAATGTTTGGAAAGAGAACCAAGGTGGAATTTGATTAGGGACGTCGAATAGCCCTCTGTGTGGTCAGGAGTCTCTGTCAGGTGCACTCTGAGTTCTTTGAAGGTAGTCTTTTGAAGCTGTGTGGCCAAAGCTGTAGGTTCCCTTTCTGTTACTTAACATCAAGGTAATAATTTCAAAAGGAAAGAGTGGCCTGTGTTTCAAATCCCTTGAGGATTTTCTTTCATTTTTATCATTATACAAAGTGCAAACCAAGGTATAGAAATAAGAGCCAAGCAACAAAAGGGATTTTCATGACGGGCGCATATCACATTTGCTATTAATAGAACAGAGCAGGTTTATCTTTTGCTCCAAATATTTGATTGTTTTGCATCACATATATCAAATGAAAACCACTCATGTACTGTATGTAACACCTCTACGGTCATAGGTTTGTAATCTCGTAACATCTCAGGAGTCCTGGTTAGAACATGGATGAGATACCAATAGTGGGGCGGCTGTGACTTTAAAGTACTCCATTGTAGTTGTGTCTTTAAAGAAGAAATCGTACGCATATTTTTGGCCTTTAAAAATTAGAATGAGACTAGTTACTTTGTCATTTCATGTGTTAGAATGGGAAATATTATCTGAAGTATGGGATATGATCAAACATGTATGAAGGGTAAAAAAAAATGCTTCCCGCCTGTAATCCAGTTCCTTTTTTTTGGGCGTTAACGCAGACATGCGAAATAATCAATGCCAAAATGAATTTAGGGGCAACATTTTTCATTGGCATAAAATGGGTGTGATGTCTTATTTAGTCGTACAATTACTTCGAACTACTAGAGGACTGAGACAGGAGATTTTTACAGAAGGGTTAGTCACGGAGTTTGTACCAGAAGTTCCTGATATTAGCGTGGGTGTATCAAAAATCATCTCCAGGTCGGTTTTTGGTCTGTTTTTTTTAGGGAGCTATGCTGTAACATAGTCTCCTTTATGCAAGACACTTCACCTATATTACCTTTTTATCTTCATATCAGTATGAATCTGGCATGCTTGTTGAATACTTGATGTATGACCTTGTAAACATGTTTTGGCTAATAAATGATACATCACCAAGGCGGGTGACGGTTCTGAAGATGGCTCACAGCTCTGCAAAAAAACATGAATTTTACATCTTTGTGTGAATGCGGTTGTGGTCAGAGATGCTGATGGTGCAGATTGTCAGCCTTGCTTTGGATAGATTAAGAAGTTGTAGTTAAAAAAGTAGCTTAGCACCACTGAGTTTGAAGTTAATGAATACTAAATTAGTTATTAGTTCTGGCTTTAGTTATGGCTATAGCTCCTCGCGCAATGGTCCAATTGAAATGTGATAATTTGAAACAAGCAATAAACAAGCTCTCTGAACGAAAAGAGACAGGATTTGTTTACACTTTCTCGTATGTCTAAACACCTATTAAACAGCAACCTCCGGCACTCAACGTTGCCTTTGTCTTTGCGTTGCATATTTTCCCCCTCTGAAGCAAATGTGCATGGAAATAGCGTGAATAATGTGGGCTTATTTTCTAAACAGCCTTGGAGCTTCCATTTGGCCGTAAGGACTTAGAGGTTCATTTAGTACAGACTCAACTAGTGTGGTTCATTCAAGGTTGGGTGGGCTCTCTTGTTTATTATAATCACTATTGGTTATTTCATTAGTGTAGTGAATGTCATCCATTAAATTGATGATTGTCTGTTTTCTGATGGGGCTCACATAAAACTGTGAAATCTATCATCTAACAAATGAAACAAATGATACAAAGTGGTTATGAATGGCCGTGTTGCCCTCATTGTGATAATACTATGTTAATTCATGCTATACAGTGATGCATATCTATTGGCTTCATCAATTTAGCTTCAATTATTTGCATATCTCGTCTCATATTGGGTGTTAATTTGAATCCCATCTGGATTGGTGAGAGGTCACAGAACCTATAGATACGACTAAAATTAAAAGTATGCATTATTACAACTAGTAACACAACTGTTATCTCTGTAACTATTACTGAAGATTGTATTAACAATCTTTGTCAGACTTTGATGTGAGATTTCTTATTTACTGTGTCTCTCACTTTCTATTTTTCAAGCCACCTGCTCCAACTGCGATAAACACAAATCAATGACTGAACACTCTCCTACCCATTATGGACAAGAAAAGTGGTACGTATCTCTGCTGCCTGGAAAACTATCTGTGCTGTGTTTCAGTTTATCCACTAATTCACTGGGTGAGGGTGGCCTTGTATTGGCTTTTGTATTGTGAGGTAAATGGCTGAGCACTTGACTTATGGATCAGTACCAGTTGTGTGGAGGAAGGCTTTATTTTCTCCCGGTGGTCACCGCCCACTCTCTCCCACATGTGTAGCATTTTGCACATAGATTAGTATTCTGTGGTGCAGTCACTGCATGATAATTGCTTCCTGGCAAGTTATAATGATTAAGATAATGAAGCACCATGCATGTGTGTTTATGCAGCAGCATGTCTGTACAAGTGTGGAAAGGTAACAATGGTACTGATCACTAACATACCACCATTATTGTTGAATGCACCAGTATTATTGTTATTTTCTGCCTGACTGTGATTATTTGTAATAGTTGAAATGGTGGATCATAGATTTTTCTATTGATTGTTCCTTTTTTCCCCTCACAGCCAATGGTGTTCAGACCAAGAGCAGTGAGGCGGGTGTTCAGAGAAAGCAGCTGCCCTACTCTGTGGAGACTCCTTATGGCTTCCACTTGGACCTGGACTTTCTCAAATATGTTGACGATATTGAAAAAGGCAACACTATTAAAAGAGTACACATCCAACGAAGGATTAAATGCCCCCCGAAATTTAGCACATTGCCCCGGAACTTTAGCCTGCCTGGACATGGGGTCAGACCTGCACCAAAGGAAACCACAGCATGGTCTGGGACATCCACGCTGGGGCCCAAACCAAAATCCCGGCTGACAGAAGTGCAACAGACATTTGACTTCAGAAGTGATCTTGGATCCACCAGCCTGAGTAGCAGGGGCTTAACAAATCAGGGTTATATATCACCCAAACCCAGAGAGGAGACAAGCGCTGGGGCCCGCTTTGATGAGAAGTCAACAGGAGAGCTTCAAAACCGACCAAACTTACTCAGAGCATCTAGCATGCCCATCACTTTACCACAAAGAAAAGGTTCTGATTCTAGTAGTCCGATTTTAGTCACTCCAGAAAATGGCTCTTCAGAAAACATGTTCCGAGCTTCCCCTGATGTCACAGAGCGGCGCATTCCTCAAGATCGAACGGGGCTTCACCAACAAATCACAGTGGCTCTAAAACGTGTCAGAGAGTTAGAAGAGCAGGTCAAAACTATCCCAGAATTGAAGGCACAGATATCTTCACTGAGAGAAGAGAGAGAAAAACTACTTATTCAGCTCCAAGCTCAGATGAAAGCCAGAGTAGAAGGCAAAGATTCGGCGACACACAGCCAGGAACAAGGGCAGCGGCCATCACATGAGCTTAAGTTAATTTTGACACCGCAGCCTCCAGAGACTAAACCTGGGACGAGAAAGGACGAGCAGGAGGCAGACGTAACCAATGTGCCAGCAAAAGAAACTGCACAGGAAACATGTCAGTTGTCAGAAACAGAAATCAAGACGAAAACACAATTAGAACAACCTGCGAAAGAAAATGACACATTGGAGAACTCAAAGGCTGATTCAGCAAAAACGAAATCACAGGATATTGCAGCACAGGCATTTATGTCACTTTGGGGATCTGTGAAAGAAAGTAAGACCAGTAGTTATGTCAGCCCCGGGAAAGGGAATGAAGACAGTGTTGAGGAGCTCCAAGAAAAGTTACAATTACTTGAGGTTAAACTTGCTCAAGCTACAGAAAATTTAGAAAGAACAAGTTCTCTCTTGAAAAGACAAATAGAGGAAAACAAGGCAAAAGAAGAAAAGATTTTGCAATTGAGTGAAGTGATAAAGGTTGAAGTGTGTAGTCCAGAGGGAGTTGATCGTTCTAGGAGAGAAAGCATAGACACTGGGACTATCACAGAAAGAGTGTTCATATCCCATCAGGAGACCGAGACAGAGCCTTATGAAAGAGTGGATCAGGGGACGGATACGGAGAAGATCTGTATAGAAGTCTGTCTACCCCAACCACCAGCTGAAAGCAAAGAGATAGGAGTAGAGATAGGTAAAGTACACACTGAAATGACAGAAATAGGGGCAGAACCAGCGATTGTGAGTCCACCAAGACCTAGAACGAACAGCATGGAAAGAAGTACAGAGACGGAAAGGGTGACAACTCAAGACCAGACGACAGAGACCCCAGTGGCAGAGAGAGTTAACCAGGTGACAGAAACCGAAACAGGGAACAATCATCCGATAAGGCCCAGAACCAGCAGTGTGGACAGGGGAACGGTTACAGAAAGGGTAAATACGGTGGATAGGGTGACAGAGACAGAAGTGGCACAAAGTACAGACCAGCAAACTGAAACAGAGATAGTGAAAAGACCTGATAACAACCCACCAACACACATAGAAACTGATGTCGAGCAGCACATAGATATTCAAGAGAGTGTAAGTAGTGAACAAGTGACAGTGGAAGAAGCTAAAACGAATGAAAGCCAAGCTACCCAGGAGGCAATCAAAATTGTAGAAAGTGTGATGACAGAAAGTTTAGTTGAGATTGCTGAATCAAAAACAGCACCATCTGTGATTGAGATGTCAAGGAAAGTTGAAGAGTGTCTAGTTGAGGATTTGAGTAATATTGTTGAAATAAAAGAAGTGAAGCCAAAGGTGGAAGAAAAGATTGAGGAACAGATTGCGGAAAACAAGGAAGAAATCCAAGTTGATACTAAAAAACTTGAATCAACAGCAGAAGCCGAGTCTAAAGTGGCAGTAGATGTAGCTGTTACAGTTAAAAAACAGGATGTAGAAGTGGTTCGACCCAAAATCAAAGAACCTGTATCTGCTGATAAGGTAATTGACGCGGCAAAAATAGCAGCGCCCGTGAGACCCCAAAGAGGTAGACGGCCTTCAACAGATCAGCCCCAACCACAATCTACCCCTCCTCAAACTCAGTCAGCACCTGTGAGACCACGTAGGGCTTCCATCGAAACCCAAGCAGCACAGCCAACCCCACCTCAAAAACCGTCACATTCCCAAGAACAGACATCAGTTACTTCTCAACCTGCTATTCCAACCACCACACAAGTACAAGAGCCCCCCAAAGTCACACCTGTGCCTCTAGCGAAAGAAAAAGTGGCAAGTCAGGAACAAACTCCGTCCAAACCTCAAGCAAAATGTGAAGGTTCAACACGTCCAAAATCTATCCAGTCGCAAACCTCAACGACCCGAAAGAACTCTAAAGAGGTCAAAGCTCCACAAAAGGCACCTAGCGTTACACAGTCAGCTTCACGGCCAACACGCCAGGGATCACAGGACGTTCCATCTCAGGGTTCTAGGAGGAGTTCAGGAGGAGAGGGCCAATCACAGAAAGAAGGAGGCGAAACGCAGCCACTTCGAAGGGGATCCAGTGAAGCAGCCCAGCGTCGCGGTTCAGGAGAAAGCCCGGGTTCGCGTCGGGACAGTGGAGAGACACAACGTAAAGGGTCAAGCGATTCTCCTACGTCGCCAGCCGCCTTAGGACAGGTGGTCACACGCCTCACAGGGCTTTTGGGTGAGCAATGGGCACAGCTTGGCAGTGGCTCGGGAACCCAGCAACAGACAGTCAGTCAGCAGGAGGCTCCAAGCGCTTCAAAACAGGCAGCAGGGAAGAAAGCCGAGCCAGTCAAAACAACTGGAGCCAAACCAGCAGGAAAGACAACCCCTGCCACTGCACCAGGTAAACCAGCGGGGAAACCTGGGTCCAAGATGAGTTCCATCCAGAGTCAGCTGGTCAGCTCCCTCAGCGTCCTGTCAGCGTTCTACTCCCCAGGCCAGAAAGCTGCAGCTGCCAGCAAACAGCAAGAGCAAGGTAAGCCTGCCTCTCTCTTTCTAGTACATTAAGCATTTCTGTATGCAATGTTCATATCAATCAGGAGAACAAAACACAACATACAGCAGCTTAATTAATACAAGACATGACTTTGCTTCACATTTCCTTGCCTTCAGTAGCCAAACATAATATTACAAGAACGTTTTGTCTTTGTGTACGAGCACAACACACAGCGCTATATTATTAACATATTTTAATATGGTTTGAGGATGTCTTCTATCCCAACCCAAATACACCCATCTAAAATGCTTAAATAAAGCAAAGCATGCTTGTGATCAAACAGTGTTTTGGTCACTTTAGCATTGTAAGATATTCCAATATTATAATGTGCACAATTCAGAGTCTCCCCCACTCAGTAATAGAACTGCCTTTAGATTATTTGCTGCTCAGTGTTAGACATCCAATAAGTGTCATGAACCATATAATTTAGTGTCCCTTCTTCCTGCTTCTTGTCCCACACATTATTTATTGACAGAATTCACCGTTAGGAACCACTTCCAATGATCAGCCTCTGACAAATTACTGCCTTAGCCGTACACACCAGACATTATTGCTTCATAAACATAAATTACAGTGCATTGGCATGTGAGTTTGTAAGTGTCACATAGTTAATGTGATGTCTTTACGTATTCCTTGTTCTTTCTGGTTGGAAAGCTCCAGCTATGCTACCACCCACATACCTTCACAGTTCATTTGAAGTTCGCTGAGTCCATTAGGGAGCAGGAGACTGATTTTAAGTGCAAAGCATATCCATAGCTGTAACCTTTTTGGAAGAACTTTGTGCATATATAATGTCATTTAAATGTTAAAATAATTCCCAAAATATTCAGCAATTCTCTTAATCTTAATCAATACATACTTTTGTGGGACGTAATTGCAGTTTAATAACGGATTCATTTGCATGTTGGGCTTCAATATTTCCTAAATAATATTTTATCACATTTTGACTTTGTTTTTGCTTACTTTACCTAAAGTGCAGAATGTTCTAGCAGTTCTGTTTTGAAATAACAGTTTATTTATGGCAAATCATTCAAGTGGAAAGTAATTTAAATACTGCCTACCCCCAAATTTCCTTCCTGTCTCGCTTTCCCCTGAGAGACAGCGTTTCTAAAGCATTTTCCTGTGGGATGGTGGTCGCATAGATCTGTAGAGCTCATGTTTTTGGGCTGCTGCCAAATCTTTGTTGCTTTGCATAACACATCAGCCCGCCTTTGCACCTTATCTGCTTCAAGGCCCTCTGAGGATGATTATGGGAAAAGCTAAACACGAGTCAGCAAAACATGTACTCAACCAATGATAGTAGGCCCAACAGTGTCAAGGTTGTACTTGTCAATAAGGCTCATGCTGTGACCAGAGTATGCTGAAGATTGCCCTCTACACTTACAAGATGAGAACTGCGTAAATTGTACTAAAACGCAGTGTTCATAATTTAATATAAACTTCAGTCTCCTACTAGACACATAGTCCTTCCAGCGTGTCCTGCGTCTTCCCCACGGTGTCTTCTTGGTGGGATATCCTAGAAAAAAATCTCCCCAAAATGGTGTCTGTGAGGCATTCAAGAAAAATACATGAACCACCTCCTTTGGCTGGCAATGGATAGAAGCAGCAGCTCTACGCTGAGCTCCTTCTATGTGACTGAGCCTTCACCATCTCTAAGTCATTATTTGACTTATGAGGATTATGAGGAAACTCATTTTGAAATTTTCGTCCTGAAAAATTCAAAATATAAAAATGTATAATTTACTGACGTACATAAATAGTTCACGTGTAACCAGGTCATAAAAGATACTACTATTATTTTATTATCTATTTTCTTTCTATGATCTATTATCTTATATAATAGACCTTGTCTGATGTGTGCATAACCTGAGTGCTCTTACTTTAATTCTACTGCACTGTGTGCAACTATGACATTGCCGTTACTTTTTTCAGAAACAAATTATTTAACTAATTACTTTGACTGTAACTATAACGCCGTTATCATTGCCGACACCCCATTACTGCACGTTACTCAAGTCGCACGATGAAATGTTTGCCCACACACCCTCTGGGCCTCGTGAGTTTGCTCTTCTCTCCAGTCCCAGCGATGCTACAGGACCGCAGCCCCACACCGCTTATTTTATACGTCTTGATTACTGTTTTGCCCACTTTTCCACCTTGTTGCGGCCTTATTGTCCTTTATCTGTGCTACTTCCCTCTAATAAGCTATTCTGCTCCCCACCTCCTCTATTGCCCCGTTCACATTATTCCAGCGGCTCCAGCCGCGCTCAGCACACTGTATTTTCCCTCGTTCTGGTCTGTCATGTGCGAGGGCTTCTGAATGGAGGGGTCGTGTGTATGTGGGAACTCATTATTTTAAAATAGTCTCTTTCAATTGCTAGTTTTATAATGTTTTTTGTTTGATTAATATATAACAATAAATGCAATGTAATTGTCTTATTATTACTTGTGTGCTTTGCAGGACAGTTACTAATTATTATTATACTAACATATAATACTAATACTAATACTAATATAGGGTGGCGTTGTTGCAACAATTAATCTACTTAGAAGTTATCCTATATTACAACCAGCTAAAGCTCGGTACCACGACAAACGAAAAAGTAACACAATAGTTACTTTTATTGGTAACTAGTTACTTTTATAGTGGAGTAACTCAGTTACTTTTTGGGAGAAGTAACTAGTAACTATAACTAATTACTTTTTCAGAGTAACGTGCCCAACACTGGTCAGGACTCAAGCAGCAGTGTTCTGAATACAGAATGTGATTTGTAGAGTCCTGTGAGGAGGGCGTTACAGGAGACAAAAGGTCAAAGCATGGGTCAAATGGACATGACAATAAAGTAAAGCCTCCTGGAGACATGCATCTCTCTAAACCTGGTTCTGACACTTTAGTCAATTAGTCTGTAACTGAATCACATGTCCGTCTCAAAGGCTGTGGAAAGAGCAAAGTTAATGTAGTCAACATAATTGTCTTGTCTAATATTATGAAAACATAGTTTATAATATATTAGTACAAGTGGAAATAGATTTGAATGACAGGTCTTATCTTGTCTGGTGTGTGATGGCACATTTTCAGCACATTGGTTTATGAAATCTAATTCATTTCTTGCACCTTTTTGTTCCTTTTTTTCCTCTGTTCTTCTCCTTCCCCTGTAGCTGGACTCAAATCTATTATGAAGAAAAATGGCGTTGCAGACAAGCCGGGGAACAAGGGAGCTAAGAAAAACCTGAAGTTTGTCGGGGTGAACGGAGGGTAAGAGCACCTTTTCTAATCTGTTTGATTAATACAAGTGTGCTGCTGTGTGGGTTTGCATTTTAACTCGGCTCTGAAGATGATCAACAGCTACAGGCTCATGGTTGCTTTGCTGATGCGGATGAGTAATTAAATGCTACTATTTTGGTTCAGATTTATTCTAAAACAAGGATTAGTGACTGTGCTTAATGGGGCTTTGGCACGATTGTGCATTTAGTCAAACAAGAAGGATTCCAGGTAGTATTTCAAATTGGTATAATAATAGAAGTCCAATTGTATATTTAAAGCCACCCTGTGTCATTTTTACAGCTGCTCCATATGCAAAAACATGTTAACTAATAACAAATGTGACCTTTTTTAAGAATATTTACCTCCACCATGTTTTTTTAATTGTATTCAAAGACTTAGAATTTAACTTATAAATGTCAATGAGAGAGGGGTGCTCTCCGTGTAAATGCACCATCTTGAAAAACAGCGGTGGATAAGGGACAAAAAGGATGCAAGAAACGTGTTCTTCGCCTTCACAAGTTGGAAGAAGGAACCATGCAGGACCACAGTTATATAAAAGAACCATGGAGGACCACAGTTATATAAAAGAACCATGTAGGACCACAGTTATATAAAAGAACCATGTAGGACCACAGTTATATAAAAGAACCATGTAGGACCACAGTTATATAAAAGAACCATGTAGGACCACAGTTATGTAAAAGAACCATGGAGGACCACAAAAGTCCGGCGTCGTAGCAGCAAAATGTCAACATTGCATACCACACACACAGAGACAGCGTTAACACAACAGGAGGCACATTGTGTAGTTTGTACACAACAGACTCACACGTGAACAGTACGTAACTTTTTCACACTGACAATAATGAGAACGAGGCTGTAGTGTTATGCAAAGTCAGGAATCACACCGGTATCTTCAAGGTGTCTTTTAATCAAACATAACACAAGGCTCATCTGTGTGCTCTCGCAGCCAGGCATTAGTGAACACCATCCGGCGCATTTTTGCCGCCCATGTAACTTTCACAATAAAACAGTGACATTACATTACATCACTCTTTCTTTGAGTCTTTTAAAGACATGTAGTAGGTAACTTTTTTTTTTCTCTAGCTTTCGCCTAAAGGCACTTACGTAGGTCTCCTAACATTGGTAACTGTAACACTTGAACAAAAATAGCATGACAGCTTATTACTATTACTTGGCATAGTCAGCATATTTATTAGGAGGTTTAACAACTCTACCACTAGAGGTTGTGTGAACTGGAGTTACAGGTAATCTAATGTTAACTGAATCTGGTGGATCAGGTCCAGGATCCACAGGTGAAGGAGATGAGTGCGGCTGTCTCTCACACGGAACCTGTGACAGTCCATCTTTTTCTGGAGTGACCGGGACACTGAGGATTGGTCTCAGGTGTCGGCGGTTCCTCCTTAGTACTCCTCCTTCTGTTTGGACGAGGTATGATCTTGGCGAGTCACACTTTTGCAGGACGGTAGCTGGTTTTATCCAGCCCTTTTGACTGTCCAGTTTCACTGCAACGCTGAGTCCTGATTGGAGTTCCGGAAGTGGTTTGGCACCGTACCTGTTGTCGTAGGTGCGTTTGTAGTTCTCTCTCGTTTTCTCATCAGCCTCTCTGACGAGCTGAAGGTTCGGCCACGCAGGCTGCAGTTTCGTTTCCAAAGTCGGTATAGTGGTTCGAATTCGTCTTCCCAGCATGAGTTGGGCTGGGCTCACACCAGTGGCTTGAATGGGAGTTGACCTGTAAATCATGAGAGCTAAGAAAGGGTCCGTCTGTTTTAAAATCTTTTTGGCTGTCTGCACAGCTCTCTCAGCTTCACCATTAGCCTGTGGATAGTGAGGACTTATGGTGATGTGTTTAATGTCATAGTCTTTCACAAACTGCTTGAAGGTTATCCCTGAGAATTGGGGGCCATTGTCTGTAATCAGTTCATTTGGGCAGCCCCATCTTGCACAAAATGTTCTTCAGGTTAGCTACTGTAGTCTCACTAGACATGTTTTTGAGGTGAGCCAACTCAATGTAACAAGAAAAGTAGTCTACAACCACCAGGTAGTTCTGCTTGTTCAGTTCACAAATATCTGCTGCGACTCTTTCCCAGGGACGACTAGGGAGTGCAGTGGTGAGTAAAGGTTCTCTTTTCTGAGTGGGTTTTGATTCTTGACAGTGTATGCAACCATTGACCATTTGTTTTATCTGACTACTTAGTCCCGGCCACCATACACTACATTTGGCTCTTTCTCTGCATTTTACGATTCCCTGTTGTCCATCATGAATGCGCTGCATAATCTCAGGCCTTAACTGCTGTGGCACTACTATTCTGTCGTTGTACAACACCAGACCGTTTGACACTGTGAGGGAATGTCTATTTGTGTAGTAGGGTTTTACCTTGTCTGGTATCATAGTTGCGTATTTTGGCCAACCTGCCTGCACAAAGGTTTGAACCGTCTGAAGATCCATGTCCTGTTCTGTTTGTTGTTTAATCAAATCCAACTTGGTAGTAGAAATGGGCCACGAGTTTTGTGTTGCGTCTTCGAGTGCCTCTATTTCTTCCAACAGTTCTGCTATTTCCTGAGTTACAGCTGCTTGTGGGTGGCGTGAAAGAGTATCTGCAACAACAAGTTCTTTCCCAGGCACATATACATGATGCTGTACCGCATCATTCTCAACAAAAGTCTTTGGCACCTCAGTGGCACTGAGTTAAGATCCTTGGTGTTTATGAGAGGTATTAACGGTTTGTGGTCACTTTGCAAAGTAAAGGAGTCTAGTCCATAGAGGTATCTGCTGAACTTCTCGCACGCCCATACTGCTGCGAGACACTCCTTCTCTATTTGAGCGTATCGTTGCTCGGCCTCGGTGAGTGTTCTGGAACAAAAACTCACAGGTTTCAACTGTCCATCGTGCTCTTGGAGTAGGACTCCGCCTAAACCGTAACTACTAGCGTCTGCGCTGACAATAGTAGGTTTAGTTACATCGTAGAATGCGAGTACAGGTGACTTTGTGACGAGTTTTTTCACTTTACTGAACGCTACTTCCTGAGCAGTGTCCCAAGTCCATGTCACATCACTTTTGAGTAGGTCATTGAGAGGTTTAGTGACCTCAGACAGGTTCGGTAGGTATCTGCCTAAGTAGTGGATCATCCCTAGGATCCGCCTCAGGTCTGAAACATTCTTTGGCGCTTCAAGTTCTGTGACCGCTTTTACTTTTGCTTTGTCTGGCCTCAAGCCGTGCTCATCAATGCAGTGTCCAAGATAGTTAAGTTGTTGCCGACGCAGGAGGCATTTCTCTTGATTTAGCTTTAACCCCGCCTCTTTGAGCGTGTTCAATGTCTTTGTCAATCTCACCTCATGTTCCTCTGGAGTGTTTGAGTATATCAGTATATCATCCATGTAGACTGCTACACCTTCATGTCCTTTCAGAAGCTCCGACATCTCACGCTGAAAGATTTCTGGGGCGCTAGTGATCCCAAACGGTAGCCTGTTGAAAAAGTACCGGCCAAATGGAGTTATAAAAGTAGTTAACTTTGCACTCTCCGGATCAAGTGGTATTTGCCAGAAACCACTTGCTGCATCTAATAGGGAAAACACTTTGGCACCTGCAAGTTTGGGCAAAATGTCATCTACAGTTGGCAAAACGTACTTTTCTCTTTTGACTGCTTTATTAAGCATTTTTAGATCAACACAGATTCTGGGTTGTTCTTTGTTCTTTTTCGGCACAGGAACCATCGGAGCACACCACTCCGTTGGCTCAGAGATTGGCTGAATAACACCGCAATCCACCATGCGATCCAGCTCTTTTTTAACTTTTGGTAACATGGGCACTGACACTCTCCTTGCTGTTGTCACACTGTAGGGAACTGCATTCTCTTTGAGAGCGATTTTGATGGGCTTGACGTTCAACTTCCCTACTTCGTTAGGGCAAGAGTCAATGATCTGCTCTGAAGCTTTTATTTCTTCAATGCGTTTTATCAGGCCCATGGCGACTGCAACATTGCGGCTTAGGAGATGACTGCTTTGTGAGCCTTTAATCACGTTGACTTTGAATCTGAATATTTTCTCTTTCCTCATTGTGGTGGCTATAAAATAACCTACACAGTTCAGTTTACCTCCTGGGCTTTCTAGCTTATTTGCCGGTCTTCTCAGCTTAGGTTTGTAGGCAAGCTTTTCAAATGTTTCATCTGGAATAACACTTGTGTCAGCCCCTGAATCAATCTTAAATGTGATTTGCATTCCTTGTATTGGTAGTTTCACAGTCCATGCCTTTGTTGAATCTTCCACGTCTGTAATTCCTCCCAGAAAGTAGGTCGCATTGCTGGTCCTTTCTTGATTGGGTGCAATAACCTCGTTGACCACACGGGAGCGACATACGACCGCAAAATGGCCCAGCTTCTTACAGGCACGGCACTCGGCATTCCTAGCTGGACATTTGTCATTCTTTGGATGTACACAACCACATCTTGTGCATTTATTGCCTTTGTTTTGGTACTGTTTCACCTTTGCCCTTACATTATGTGCATTGTTCACGTGGCTTTCACTGTATCTCTGTTTTTCTCTGTGTGGCTGGCGTTTAGAAGCCACTTCGCTCAGGTTTGCACTAGCACTAGCCCCTTGCTCGCTAACGTGCTGTTTCACTTGCTCTGACTGTCTCACGAGCTCCACGGCTTTACTGAGGGTTAAGTCAGATATCATTTGCAATTTTTCTGACATTTCTTTGTCTAGTATTCCTATGACTAGCCTGTCACGAATATTTTCCTCTTTAACACGGCCAAAGTCACAGGTGTCTGCCAACTCGTGGAGTGTTCTGATGTATTCCTCCGCGGTTTCTCCAGATCTTTGAGTGCGCTGATGAAAACGGGCTCTTTCGTGTATTGTGTTCACTTTTGGGATAAAATAATTATCCAGCTTGCCCAATACGATCTCGTAATCGTCATCGTCTTCGCCCTCTTCAAATACGAATGTCTTATACACTTGTTCTGCTTCTT